GTTGAGGGCAATCTTCTATGTTTATTAGGTTTCTCTATTCAATTGTATTGTTCAACTCTTCCACACATTTACCAAGTTTGTGAGTCTGACTGGTTTATCATTTATTGAAAGAGGTGTGTGCAGATATCTCACTATGATTTCAATTTCTTTGTCATGTCATTCTTTGCTTTATATATTTTGATGTTATGCTATTTATTATATACATATAAATTTAAATTTTTATATCTTCCTGGTTAATTAAAACCTTTAACATTATGGAGACTTAAGAGGCCATAGAAATGTAGAGAGAAGTCATAATGAAAAGGGTAGGAGGGGTGGAGACTCGATCAGGAGCCAGACTGACCCCAGGTATCTGACTGTGGACTGGAGGGATGATGTAGGTATGGAGAGGGGAGAGGAGCAGAACTCACACCAGGCACTCAAAGCACAGTGGACCTGCACTGGGAAGACAAATCCCTACAACATTTTGCTTTGAAAATCAGAGGGGATTAACTTTGTGAGTTCTTGTAATCAGCGGGGCTTAATATCTGGAACTTTAAAAATCAGTGGGCTCACTTGGGTGGCCCAGTAGGTTAAGTATCGGACTCTTGGTTTCAGCTCAGGTCATGATGTCAGGGTTGTGAGATCAAGCTCCATGTCCAACTCTACACTCAGCATGGAGTCTGCTTGAAATATTCTCTGCCCTTCCTGCTTGTGTGTTCTCTCTCTTTAAAATAAATAAATATTTTTAAAAATTAAAAAATTTAAAATCAGTGGGCTTATCCCTGGAGATCCAGAGGGGAATAGGAAACTGATTGCCTGCTTTCAAAGAGGTAAGTGTGAACATACTGCATAGAAACAGCAATTTGAAAAATGTCTGGGGCACACAGGAGGGAGATTTGTTTGCTAATCTCAGAGTGGGTGCTGGAAGGGCAGAGGTTGTTCGGAGAGCTCTCCAAGAACAAAACAGGTGCTATTTCCCTCCCTTGACCTGCAGCCTAGATACATGGACACATATGGAAACCAATGCAGTGTGAACACTCTCTACCCCGCTTGCTAACAGTGAGTCCTCCCAGCCCCCAGTCTTCTGCAGTCACACCCCATCGATCTTGGCCTCAGCAGTTTTCCCATTAGCTGCAAAGCTGTTCCTACAGCAGACTGGCCTTGATGACAGGCCTTGATGACATCACCCCTGCTGTGGACCCATCTGCAGCAGCAGTCCATCTAAAGTAGAGCCATAAGCCTGGTCGTGTGCCAGCACCCCAGATAGGGCCCAGCACTACACCAAACTGACCTCAGCCCTAAGGAGAGGGGAAGATAACCACATATACCAGTCCCACTTGGCCCTAGCAGTGAGCTGGGGGCAGACATCTAGTCTGACTGCAGGCCCTGCCCACCAATGAAAGTTTCTCAGGGGAAAACACAGGGAGAACACTCTGCAGTTTGGTGCTCCTGCAGCTCTGGCAAATACATGATCTGACTCAATTCAAGCCCAAATCAGCCCCAGACTGGCCCATTAACACCACAGGGACCAAACACTGCCCACAACAGACAGAGAGAGCCATTACACCCAGGTAGACGGAAGGTAGACACAGCTCAGCCATAACATACAACACACAGAGAAGACACCCCTGGTTCTGGAGAAGACATCTCCAGGTTCTGGAGAAGAGGGGACCTTACACTGCAGGGCACTCCAGAACCTCTTCCTCATAAGGCCACTACCTTCAAGAGTAGGAAACACAGCTGACTTTCCTAACACATAGAAACAGATACAGAGAGTTAGACAAAATAAGACGACAGAGGAATATATCCCAAATGAAAGAACAAGACAAAATCATAGCAAGATTGCTAAATGACACGGAGAAGAACAAATAGGTCCAAAAGAGAATTTTAAGTAATGGTCCCAAAGACATTCACTGAACCAGAGAAGAGTGAGGATTTCAGTGAGACCCTCAACAAAGGGATAGAAAACATGGGAAAAAACCAATTAGAGATAAAGAACTCAGTAACTGAAATTAAAAAACTAAATGTAATAAATAGTAGACTAAAGGAAGCAGAATGGATCTGTTACCAGGACAATGGAGTAATAGAAAGAATCAGGCTGAACAAGAGAGAGAAAAAAAATAATAATATATGAAAACAGATTAAGGGAACTCAACAACACTGTCATCAAGGGTGATGACATTCACATTATGGGGATGTCAGAAGGAGAAGAGAGAGAACAGGAGGCAGAAACTTTATTTGAAGAAATAATACCTGAAAACTTCAATAATCTGGAGAAGGAGAAAGAAATCCAGATCCAGAAGGCACAGACAGCCCCCAACAAAGTCAACCCACGGAGGTCCACACCAAGACACATAGTAATTACAATGGTAAAAAGTAGTGATAAAGAGAGAATTTTAAAAAGCAACAAGAGAAAAGAAAACAGTTACATACAAGGGGAACCCCACAAGGCCATCAGCTGATTTTTCAGCAGAAGCTTCGCAGGCCAGAGAGTGTGCCATGCTATAGTCAAAGTGCTGAAAGGAAAAAATCTGCAACCAAGAATACTCTACCCACCAAGGCTTTCATTCAGAATAAGAGATCTAAAGAAGTTAAAGGAATTCATCAACACTAAGTCAGCTTACAAGAAATGTTAAAGGGGACTCTTTGAGTGGAAGATAAGACCATACGTAGGAATAAGAAAAGTAGGAAACACAAAAGCACTAAAATTAAGCATATTTATAAAAATCAGTCAAGGGATTCACAAAATAAAAGGATGTAAAATACAACAACATATATAAAAAATGTGGATGGGAGAGGAGTAAAAATTTAGTTTTTTTTTAGAATGGGTTCAAACTTAAGTGACCATCAACTTAATACAGATTGCTATATGCAGAAGATGTTATATATAAATCTAATGGTAAGCACAAATCAAAACCCAGTAATAGATATACAAAAAATAGAGAAAAGGGAATCCAAGTATATCACTAAAGAAAACCAGTACCCATGAGAGAGGAAAGAAAAATACTACAAAAACAACCATAAAAAAAGAAGCAAAAAGGCAATAAGTACATACCTATCAATAATTACTTTGTAAATGGACTAAATGCTCCAATAAAAAGACACAGGATGATGGAATGGATAAAAATGCGAGTCTATCTGTAGGCTGCCTACACGAGACTCATTTCAGACCTAGAGAGACACCTGCAGATGGAAAGAGAGAGGATGGAGAAGCATTTATCATACACATGGAAGTGAAAAAAAAAGCTGGGTAGTAATACTTCTATGGGACAAACTAGACTTTAAAACAAAGACTGTGACAAGAGACAAAGAAGGTCACTACATAATCATAAAGGGAACAATCCAACAAGAAGATATAACAACTGTAAATGTTTATGCACCCAACATGGGAGCACCCAAATACATAAGGCAGCGAATAATAAGCTTTATAAAGGAAGTAATCAATACTAATACAATAATAGTGGGGAATTTAATATCCCACGTACATCAATGGATAGATCATCCAATCAAAATACCAACAAGGAAACAGTGGCTTTGAATGATACACTGGACCAGATGGATTTAATAGATACATTCAAAGCATTCCATCCTAAAACAGCAGAATACATATTCTTTCCAAGTGCACATGGAACATTCTCCAGGACAGATAACATATTAAGCTACAAAACAAGTCTCAATATACTCAAAAGATTTAAGTCATAATACCATATACCTCACAAAGCTATGAAACTGGAAATCAACCACAAGAAAAAATCTAGAAAGAACACAAATACATGGAGGTTAAGTAACGTGCTACTAAACAATGAATGGGTCCATTAAGAAATCAAAGAGGAAATTTAAAAAATACATGGAAACAAATGAAAATGAAAACAACAGTCCAAAACCTTCAGGATATAGCAAAAATGGCTCTAGAGGGAAGTTTATAGCAATACAGGCCTACCTCAAGAAGCAAGAAAAATCTCAATTAAACAACCTAATCTTATGCCTAAAGGAACTAGCAAAAGAAGAACAAACAAAACCCAAAACCAATAGAAAGAAGGAAATAAAGATTAGAGTAGAAATAAGTGATATAGAAACAAACCAAAACAAAAACAGCAGAACAGATCAATGAAACCAGGAACTGGTTCTTTGAAAAGATCAACAAATTGATAAACATCTATCCAGACTCATCAAAATAACATAGAATAAAAATCAGAAATGCAAGAGTAGGAACCAAAACTCCAGAAAAAAAGGATTATAAAAAATATTATGAAAAACCATATGCCAAAATATTGGACCACCTGGAAGAAAAGGATAAGTTCCTAGAAACATATAACCTCCCAAAACTGAATCAGAAAGAATAGGAAATCTGAATGTATTGATTATCAGCAGTGAAATTGAGCCAGTAATCAAAAAACTCCAAGCAAACAGAAGTCCAGGACCAGGCCGCTCTCTCAGAGGTGAATTCCACCAAACATTTAAAGAAGAGTTGATACCTATTTTCACCTTATTTCAAAAATAGAGAGAAAGGAAAACTTCTAAATTCATTCCATGAGGCCAGAATTACCCTGATACCAAAACCAGATAAAGAACTACAAAAACAAACAAAAAACTCTAGGCCAGTATTTCTGAGGAACACAGATGTGAAAATCCTCAACAAAATATGAGCAAACTAAATCCAATAATACGTTAAAAAAGATGATTCATCATGACTAAGCGGGATTTATTCTTGGGATGCAGGTGTAGCTGACATCAGCAAATCAGTCAGTAGGATACATCGCATGCAAGTCAGTCCGTGTAATACACCACATCAATAAGAGAAAGGATAAAAACCATGTGACCATTTCAATAGTTGCAGAAAAAGCATTTGATGAAGCACAAGATCTAGTCATGATAAAAGCCCTCAGCAAAGTAGGCTTAAAGGGAACTTACCTCAACCTAATAAATGCCATATATGAAAAATCCACAGCCAACATCATACTCAATGATGAGAGCTTTTCCCCTAAAATCAGGAACAAGACAAGGATGTCCCCTCTCACCAGTTCTTTTCAGCACAGTACTGGAGGTCCTTGCCACAGCAATCTGACAACAGAAAGAAGTAAAAGGCATTCAAATTAGTAAGGAAGATATAAGAAATCTTTGTAAATGTAGTGGACGTCAGGGCAAGGTGCAAAGGATAACTTCACAGTGTTTTGCTTATGTCATGGAAATGAGATTTAAGAGGGAAAGAGGGCAGGTAATGTGGGGTAGAATGAGAAAGAGGAGGGTGAAATGAACACAGCTTAGATGAGTGAGAAGCAAAGTGAGGACATGTAGGGTCAAGGGTCTTGGTGAAATCAGAGTTGCTGGAGTGAGGGTATTAGAAGGACATCGCTGGAAAGTGGGCATGAAAATAAAGACAGGCTTGGTGGCAAGAAAACAAATACACATTTTAAGATAATCTTTATTTGCTCATCATATACATTTTAACATGCATTCTATTGATATATATTACATTTATTTTTCAGTAACAATTAGAATAATTTACTATATAGTGTAAATCACAAAATGGGATACCTGAATTACAAGCATTTCTGTATAATGTGTGAGGTGAACCAGAGCAATGGAAAATCATTGCTGCTAATCTCAAAGAAAAACAGATCAACATTTCCATTACCAAGTGTGAATTTAGGTGTTTAAGGAGATTAACTCCACCCCTGGATTCTTGTATCTTCAGAATTAAAGAGGTAGTATATATAATCAGAAAACTGATTTCGATGTTCACTTAATGAGAGGTGTGTATGTATGTTGTACTAGAAACAGCAACATGTAAAATGGAAACGTTGTGAACAATCCCATTTTCTAGGGATAGATTTGCATGGCTGTGCCTTAATCCTGCAAATATCATCAATAACTACAGACAGTGGCAGAAACAGATAAATTAGCTGCCTATCTTAACCACTGAAACAATGGACTTACATGGTCGGAAGAGGATTTCCCCATTTTTTCAAGGTATTAGTCTTTATTGTTGATTTTTCTATTGATTTTGAAAGGTTTTTGTCTACAAAGCTTATTTTATTACTAGTTAGTATTCATATTTTTATTAGTCAAAGATTTTTCCATTTGTTAGAATTCATACGCTGCGCAAAATAGCCAATTTTGTCCCTGAATCAACATCATGCCAGTCCCAATGAAATTTTACTGTTGAGGGAAGCCTCTACAGCCTTATTTGACAAATGTATGATTTCAACAAAGCTTTCTGAAAAACTGAAGACAGCTCATCTTACCCAAAATTAATGGACCCTATTTGGGCAATCAATCTATTAAGGAACAAAATAGATTCTTCTTTTACAATTCTATTTGAAGTTTTTCCTCCTTCCTGTTTTCTTCTTTTGACCATTCATTTATCTATTTCTCTTCTTTCTTCTCTTTTTCTAACCAAATGTTTGCTCCCCCGCCATTCTCTGGTTTCCTCATCATCCCCTAGAGAATTCGGTTTCCTCTTGTTCTATTTCTTCAATACTTGGATTCAATCTCCTTCCATTAGGCTTTGTTTCCCATAGACGATCTGTTCCTGTGTGGTCATCAGTTCTTTTCCAGAGAATTGGGCATGTAATAAGGAAAACAGAAATGATCTGGCTATGTAGTCACCCACAAACATAAAATAGCTGAACATCTCACAAGTGCAGTATGTAATTATCCATTCCTGATGTCAGTAAGGTGTAAGTCCCTTTGGTATAAACTTCCTGTGTTTAAGATATGGCATCAGTAAATTCCTAAATTTTGTTTGCTTGGCATCTCTGTGAATTAAAGATATTAAGTATAAATCTCACCTTAATACTTTTTCATTTTTTATTGCATTGTTTTAAAAGATTTACTTATTTTAGAGAGCATGTGTGTGTGGGTCCGCAAGTGGGGGGAGGGGGAGAAGAGGGGTAGAGAGTCTTCCACAGGCTCCACACTGAGCACAGAGCCCCATGTGGAGCTAGATCTCATAACCCTGAGATCATGACCTGAGCTGAAATCAAGAGTCAGACACTTAACCAACTGAGCCACCCAGGTGCCCTGGGACAAATTTTTAACCTTATTCTTCAGCTTGAATTACATAGCCTTTGAGCCTTCAAGATCAGCGGGAATCTGAAACTGGCATGTGAGCTGGACTACAACTCTTCTCCCAACTTTTGCCCGATTCACCAAATGACACTGTAGGTCACAGGATGCTCCTGTTTATTTCATCAGACAGAGACGGTCTGTGTTTATCCCTCACTTACCAGGTGCTACTCACTCTCTCAGAAGAAGTACCTGACGTGTGACCCAGCCCCATGAGGTAGCTGTTCCTATTAGATCAACTTCACAGATGAAAACCGGACACACAGGGAGGTCCACTAATTTGCCCAAGGTCACACGGTAAGTGACAGAGCCAAGGTTTGAACTGGAGAAGCCAGACTCCAAGTCTGAGGTGCTGACCTCCGTGCATTATTGCTTCCCTGATGGAACAACTTCAAAATGCACATGCTGACCTCCTGACTTTGTTACCTCCACCTCTGCTCCTGTTCATTCACCCGCTTACACAGTAGCACCCCGGACCAGCTCTCTGAACTGCTCCAGCTCCAAGACCTTGAATGCTTTCCCCATCCGTTCCTCCTTCCCTTCCATGCCTCCTGGCTTTCCTAACTACTGGACAAGCTCAGCGTCTCCACTGAGCCCCCCTGCCTCTACTCTCCCAGTGCCACTCATGCTTCTTCTCTGCCTCCCTTCTCTGTCACTCCGGGAGAACTTGCCAAGGCTCTAATCTGCCTTGCTTTTTTGTTCCTTTTAACTTCACCCACTCCTTCCGTGTGGAATATTCGTTCCACCATCTCTCCTCCATTTCAGCTTTATGAAGAACTTGACCCAAAGTCTGAGCCACACTCCGAATACCACCTCCCCTCCCCACCCAAAGACTACCTTTTCCAGAACGTTCTTCTTGGTCATTTCAAAAAGTCAGATGTAATCTCTCTCTCCACAGTGTTTGTAACACAAATATAATCTACCTTATAATCCAGTTATAAGTGAACTCCCTTGGCATCCCTGCTAGTTTACAATCGTCACTGAGAAGATCTAGCCCAGTGCTTTGTGCTGGAGAACAGAAGAAAGAACTAGAAGATGAAACAAAGAACTTCACAACTGAAAAAAATGTTCTACTTTGAACCTTAATTTTACTTGTAAGGACACTGATGCCCAGCTGAAGAGGCAAGTCACACTAAAGGCGGGAGATGGAAATTCACCGATCCTCTTCCCTTATTGCTTACCATGAATAAAATCACGTGTTCTCTGGGCTCTGCGCTAAGCACAGGCAAAAGTATTTACTTTTAAGAAATTCAGAGTCTACTGACCAGAAAAGAAAACAGTTTATTAGGACACAATGTAATGGGATAGCTGTTTGTGGGATAAATAAACTTATAAATAAATGCATGAGTAAAAGAATTCACTACCTTTGTAGTAATATTATGTGATTGTTCTAATAGTAAATGTGAGGAAACATAACTTTTAATTCAGTTGGTAAAATTACACCCAAGTGGTAGGAAGAAATGTCAAATAGAATTTGAGCCAGACAGGCTGATCATCAGCCTAAAAAAGAGAGCGGTCCACTGCAAACGGAGAGGTGAGGTTTTCCATCATGCTCTGTTTTTAGCTTTTCTTCCTTTGGTTTTTGTTGCTGCTTTGCACGTATTCAGGATTTAGTTCTGAGCGCTCACACTACCTGGGATAATTTCTATCTTGTTTATTAACTGGTCGTGTGGTCACCTCAACCAGAGAGAAGATTCTATGGTCTTGGACGGGACGTACCCGCTATTCATTTTGTTTACTTATTTTTAAGCTTGAATGTTCTTGTAATGGTAGCTCTTCTCACTCCCCTGAAAGTTAGATTTTCTGGCAGACATGGTGCCTGATTAATTTAGACGGCAGAGAGAGTATGACAAGGATTAGGCGAGGGGTGTCTCCCAGACATCCAGGATGCCTTACCTGGGAAGCTCAGGTCTGCTCTACCCACAGTGCATCAGGAAGGACCTCCAGCTGGGCGGTGTTAGAGGCAGTTTGATTTGAAAATGGTTGCAAAACCTGTAAAAGAGATAAAGCAGAGAAACACGTTTTGGAAACTTCCGTGACCAGTTAGGCCAGGTTCTGTCTGGTTACCTGGTACTCAGGCCCCCTGCGGAGGGCGCTTCCATACTGTTTCAGCTCTCTGTAGACTAGCATTTTCAGTGTGCTGAATGCAGTCCCTTCCAACAGGACAACTGTGCCTTATTTTTATTTTACCACAATGTGCCTTGCTTTAAGGAATTCTATGTGAAAATAAAGATTTATGTTCTGTAGACAAAAGCATTAGAACCTGGTACTGGTAAGGGTACAGGTGAGTGAGTCCTCTCCTATGTGTTTCTGGGGGAGGAAACTGGCTTGCTGAGCGACAAAGCAGAGCAAACCTGAAGCCTAGGCCCTGCGCATGCGCCTGAGACATCTGCCCCCGCCCACTGCCCCCACACACACCCTGAAGAAATCAATGGAGAGTGTGCAAGACACATCTACAGGTTAATTTGCCGAATCAGAATCAGTTTCGAATAGTGAAAAGTTAGAAATAGCTTATAGGTAGATCAAAGGTGTTTCCGTAAACGGGCAAGTACAAAAGTATGTATGATATGACTCTATTTTTACAAAAAATGCATGTGTATGGGCTTGCAAACTAAAAGGAAAGATTAACCAGGCACCAGGATCTCAACAGTTCTCTTGGGGCGGGGGGTTTATTCGTGGTTTTAACTTTTTTTTTTTTAATTTATTTTGAATTTAACTTTAAAAAAAATTTTTTAAATAACTTTTCTCAAATTTTCCATAGAGATCATTTTTAAAACCAGAAAAATAGTCAATAAACTCATAAATCTCATTTGAAGAGAAACAAAAATAAACTAGGCTGTGACTGTTTCCCAAGATTCATCAAGGAATCCTCTTACATACACAGCCTGCGTTATCGAAACAATAGAACTAAATAATCTTTAGCATCAATATTCTAGGAGCTTCCAAGAGGAAACTGTTTTCTTAGGAAAAAATAACCTCTCAAGTCTCCCCAAAAGTTGCTCCAATCCTATTTTTCCAGAACAAGAAGTCAGGCGTATGTTCTGTTGAAGATGAACAAAAGTTAAAATGTTTTACAACGGTTACAAAGTTGGAGCCTTGGGGCACCCGGCTGACTCGGTTAGTGGGGCCTGTGATGCCTGATCTTGGGGTGGTGAGTTCAAGCCCCATGTTGGGTGTAGAAATTACCTAAAAATAAAACCTTAAAAAAAAAATTTGAGGCTGATCTGTGTGTCTCACTCAACACAAGGGATACCAAAGATACAGAGATGAGTAAAAAACAAAACAAGGTACAGAGTGTATGTACTAGGAGAACATTTAAAAAAACAAACCAACAGCAATAACAAACTTTTCCCTCCGACTATGCGGGACATTTTATTGAGAACAACTCTATTTAGAGGAATGTTGATATTCTCAGAAACGGGCCTGGGACACCATCCACCGAGCTTATTCAGACTTACCGAGAGTTTGCCCGGGCAAGTGGGTGGAGGGAGAGGCAGGAAAGAGACAGGGTTTTGTGGGAAGGGTGTGGAGATTATTGACTTGTTATTTTACAAGCTTCAACATTCTTTACCTTTTCTCCAAATAATTTTAAAACATTCATAAGGTAGTAAGTCAGAAAGAAAGAGACAGAGAAGAAAGAAGGGAAGGGAAGGGAGGGAGGGGAGGGAAGGGGAGATAGATTTTAAGACATGCCTGTGTTTGCAAGCTCAAGGCAGAACCAGAGGGTAGGTTTTGCTTATTCACAATTAAATTCCTGCATTTTTCAGAGGGTCAGTGCTAAAGATAAGAAATGATTCTCCTTCTTGGTGATTCTTTTGCAAATATAAAAATAGCAAATGAGCCTTTTTGACATTTCAGCTCAAATGTTCCAATTATGTTCTTTTTTTATTAAGGATTTTATTTATTCGAGAGAGAGAGAGTATGAGCAGGGTAAGGGGCAGAGGGAAAATAGACTCCTTGCTGAGCAGGGAGCCTGTTGCGGGGTTCAATCCCAGTACCCTGGGATCATGACCTGAGCCGAAGTCAGACACTTAACCGACTGAGCCACCCAGGCGCTCCCCAAATACAATCTTAAAGATATACACAATTTTGTGATGAGAGACTTACATAGTTTTGAAGTGGAGGCAGGCAGAAACTCAGTGGGCCATTCCCCTTAACCAACCAGTCCACCAAATTCACACAGGGTTGGGCACAGGCAAAAATGTGACGTGGGGAAGAACTGTCTTTATTGACCATAACTTTGTCACATAAACACCGCCCCTCATTCTTCTCTTGGCAAATACGCACCTTGCCTCTAATAATCTCCCTTCATCTCCTATACTACAAACTACTTGCAGAAGGGACTGAAACATCTGTATGAATGTACAAACGACTTGCTTAATCAGACTTGTTTTTCACAGGTTAACAAAGGAATGAAGCTCTAATGGTGGAATCTCACATTCCATCAGAATCTGGGGGCACAGTCAGGGCCTGACTCTGCTTCTATATACCCATGGCCTCTCCTGTAGTGGTCTAGCATGTGACAGGCATTTCAGACTTAGAGATGACGGTATGTCAGGACCCCACTGCAGCCAGATTTGGAATCCTATATACAAGTCATCCTGGAGTAGACCGTTCTTCACCACGTGTCTGATGATGTCAAGCTGGCTCCGGAACTGAAACAGATATGGACTAGCTCACCGGGGTGACCTGGCCAGCACAGAGCATCAGGAACTCATGTTCCTGGGAAAAGCAGCTACTTATTATGGCAGGGAATAGGAAAGGGCTCAGAAGCTGGAGAGCAGGCCCGGCGGCTGAGAGCACAGACTGAGTCCCATCTCTGGGTTAAATCCAGGCTTCAGCTGTGGGAAATGGACAACCATTCTCTACCCTGGTTTTTCTCCTCTATAAAATGAGGATAATGGAACATTCGTCAGAGGCTGTCACGTGGAGTAACAGAGTTAGGACTTACAAGGAGGCCTGGTGCATGGTAAGCTCTCCGTGAATGTACGCACTGCAGTGCTACTCTGCAGCTGGAGTGTTTAGTCTCCGTCCAGAACATTCAGTGACAAAGCAGAGGGGGCAACTAGAATGCCAACTCCTGACACGGAACCGTGGGCTACTCAGAGGAGAAGACAAGCAGGAGTGGCGCTGAGTGTCAGCCCCACGCTGACTGATCAGGTGACCTTCACCTGGATAAGCCTCTCTTACGGGGGTGTCATGAGGACAAAATGGTATCATTTATAAAAAGAAGCATGAGGTCATAAGCAGGGACAGGAGGCTCAGATCAGACGTGGCTTCGACAGGTCATTAGTACTGGTGTTGAAGTTTATCAGGAGCTTTTCCAGGGCTGGGCATCAGCATTTCCCCCCAGGGAAACAGCACCCGAGTGCCGGCTGAGGCCAACTGTCATAAATGACAGGTTCTTAATGACACAGAAGGGTTCAAAGATGGGCACCTTGGATTTATTCTCCGGCCAGCACCTTTCCTGTACAACCATATGCTTCGTGCACTGAAACAGCAGACTGAGAAAACAGCACCGTTTGGTCAGGATGAGGCTGCCCCTCATAAGACATGGGTCTGGATCTACTCCTCATGGTGGAGGGCAGATGGCCTTTCTGACCCTTCGTTCTGGAGAAGAACACACAGGAGACTGGGGGATGGGACCGAGAAACAGAGTAGAAAATGGGCAGGTCTGGGTGACTGATTAGCTGTGGGGATGAGGGGAAGAGAAGGTTGAAGGGTGACTCCTGTGTGTCTAGTGTGGCTCAAGGTCAGGGGTCAGTATTGCCAACAGTCCAGAAAAGAGGAAAGAGCAGTTCTAGAGAAGGAAGAGGATACGCTGTTTTTGAACAGGTTGAAAAGGAGGTACCACAGATTTGGAATCTGGGTGATGACAGATCTAGCAGGCAGCGGACAGTAAAGAATCGCCAGCATGACCGTGCTGTAGGGTGGGATGTGCGGGTTTTGGAGTCATTAGCAGAGAAGTGGTAGTAGCCAACGAAGTCACCTAGTTAGAGACTCAAGAGGAAGAGTGAGTTGAACACGAAGCCCTGGAGGGAAACAAGCTTCTAGTGATGCTAGAGAGGGACCCCAAAAGAATACAGAAGGATAGTCAGGAACTGAAAAAAATAAGGGGTAGTGTCATAGGAATGAAGAAAACACTCAAGGTCAAAAAGATAGACCAGGTGGCTCCTTCGGTTAGGTGTCGGACTCTTGATTTCGGCTCGGGGTTGTGGGATCGAGTCCTGCGTTGGGCTCTGTGCTCAGCGCAGAGTCTGCTGGAGACCCTCCTTCCTTCTCCCTCTGCTCCTCCCCCACACCACACTCTTCCTCTCTCTCCCAAATGAATAAATAAATATTTTTTAGAAATGATGCATATGCATAAACGTGTCTTCTGTACACGTCAGGCCCAACTAGAATGTTCACAACACATTTACACGGGTAAATGTTCTCCTGTCAGAGAACAGGAAGCAAAGCGAGTCACTGACAAGAAGGAGACTCCACCTGACATGAACCTGGAGAGCAGGCTAAGGAGTGGCAAGTAAAGACAGAGTCTGCAGGACCCCGGAGCATGAGGGGAGGATGCCCACATGTGCAGGGGGTAGAGGCGGGCTCCCAAGGATGACCGTGAGGACACACAGTACAGTGTACATCAAACAGCTGGCCCCTTCCTGTGCTTCCGCACTGCTCTCACCACATACCTTCAGACAGTTTTCTGAGCAAATGGAATCAGTTTTAGGGGGAGAGCAAGGGCAGGTGGGATCCTTGTGATGGCCCTGAAGCAAGGAGCTGTACTATGGAGACCCCAGCCTCACATCTGTCTCCTCACCTCCAGACCTCACACCTGACCAAGGACAGCCTAGCCCGTCTCACAGTCCCCTTTTTAAAAACTGAATTAACTTTCAATCTGGGTATTTCACATAAAAACCCAGACTTCCAAGTTCTCTGAACAATTCAGAGCAGCTGGAGCTCCTCAGCATAGCCACCTTCCAACCATGCACATGCTCTCCACAGCTCCACTCAGCTCTCCCGTGGACGGAATCTGCTGTGAGCCAGCTCTGAGCATGGAAGCAGGTAGTCCCTGCCTTTAAGAAAAGCCTGCTGGATGACAAGTGCTGCACATACACGGAAAGATGGGTTGGCCGTGAGCAACACCACACATGAGAAGCCAAAAGAGCAATGCCCTCGGGTGTCAGTGGACAGAGATCTGCCAGCCACCTTCCAGGGCTCAGCTACACTGTCGCGTGATGGGAGGCAGGGAAGTATTTCTGGGCAGTTACAAGCAGAAAGACTGAAGCAAAGGCAGCTTAGACCTGGGTGGGGTCTGGAGGCAGATAAGGGACGTCGCAGGGTGAAAGACTTGCAGCCGACCTAGAGGAGCCCATCCAGACTGGGGCAGGAGGAGGAGGCGGACTACCGGAGCCGTGCATCTAGGACAGAGGGAGAGGTGGTGGAATAGAATATATACTTAGGAGTTTGAAAAACTCACGGTTAAATAAAGGTAGCATGAGGGGGCTCCAGGCGGCAAGGAGAGGAGCTCTCCCCATGGCAGGCCTAAGCAAACCGCACCGTAAGAAATCTCACTAGCATCCTGGCAGACGGGGCGCCTGGGTGGCTCCAGCGGTTAAGCGTCTGCCTTCAGCTCAGGTCATGACCCCAGGGTCCTGGGATGGAGCCCCATGTCAGGCTCCCTGCTCTGTAGGGAGACTGCTTTTCCCTCTCCCACTCCCCCTGCTTGTGCTCTTGGGCACGATCTTCTTTGCAAATAAGTAAAATCTTGGAAAAAAAAAAGTCCTGGCAGATGAAAGCACCAGACGCCACTTTACACAGAGCCAAGTATGTAGCGGTCGTGGCGATTCAGCCGCGGCACCTTTAAGTCTGCAACGGAGCTGCTGTTTGCCTCACCGACAAATGCATTATGAAAAGCCGTGAAAAAGTGACTTTCGGTTTCACGTGAACTTGTGAATCAAGAAAAGTCCAAAGATGATCTCCTTTAAGGCTAACAGATACCTGAAAGTATAGATCTGGTGCATCAAATTTGAGAAGCAACTCAGTGGCTAATATGTAGACCCTGGAGCTGGACCACTGAGGTCAGTCCTCCGCACCATTGTTTGCCAGCTGGACAGCCTCGGGCAGGTTCCTGGACATCAGGACAATGTCTTCATCCACAAGTGGGAAATATAGTGATACCATGTCCATAAGGTTGTTGTTGAATAAATGAATGTAATTTTGTAAAGTGCTTTGAGCTATGTAAGCGTTTGTTAAATAAAGCGATACATTGAATAGATCCATTTTGCTTAAAATGGGTGCTTCACGTACAGCTTTCCTATATGTGAAAACCTGTTTTTTAAAACCCAGAAAGCAGGCAATAGGTTGATTTTACTGAAGCTTTAGCCTAGGATTTTCTTCAATGGCAAGTACTTGGCTTAATATAAAAATACAAGTCTAATTATTAAAATGTAGTTTACCGCTACAATTAGGTGGCATACATTTGTATGGCACATGTAATAAACTCAAGAGTGGCCTGTATATCCTAATTTACCTAATGGTTGTTAAGTTACATTCGTAACTTAACATTGAGTTGAAAATTACAATGCATGCTCACATAATATATTAGTTATTTAACTATCGGAAAAAAGAAATGACAGAATAGGAATACGCCCCATGGAAGGAGTAAAGAAACCAAGGCTCGGACAGGTGAACTCGCTTGCTCAAAGCCTATGATCAACAGGGATGCGGCACCAGTCCTAAGGTGGAAGCCCCAGAGCTCTTCCTTCTACCACGGTGCCACAGGTGAGGGGTTTGCTCAGCACTGGAGCTCAACCAGATATCCACTGCTGTATGCTGACTTAATTCCCTCTCTGCGAATGCCCACTGGGTTCGGGGAAGGAGGTGCCACTGGAGGCCAGGGAAAAGAGGAGGTCAGGGAAAGGAGGCCAAGATGGAGGCTTGAGGGTCTGGAAGGCACTTAAGCAGCTCAGCTGTTTGGAAGCAAGCATGTAGAGTCTTTGCAACTGACTCAAAAAGAAGCAAGTATGGACTTGAGCTCATAATTATGTTTCCATATGGCCTCGTTACTTATGACAACTGTACTACAGTAAAATAAGATGTTAACAATTCTCAGTACTATTCTTGCAGCTTTTCTGTAACTCTAAAATCATTCTAAAATAAAAAGTGTGTTCGGAAAGGCAGGAAGAAAGGAAGACCAGAAGGAGCACTGCCCCTGGACTTCCTACTTACTTCCTCATATGCGGTTCCCAGCTCCAGCTTTCTTTTGGAAAGGATAAAGGTAGAAAGTCAACCAAATAGTCATAACCTCCAGGAAAAGGGCTGAAATCCTCCTCTGTTTCGGTCATCTCTGCAAATGACAGGATGGTAAAGGGAAGAAGCATTATCAATCTGGGGGTCAAGGTTTTTCAAAAATTCTAGGTTGTATAAGACCCAAACTTCCTTAAATGATAGCAGTTACTTGCAGGTAGGATAATTCTTTCCCTCGGTCTCCCTCTCCTGAACCGATAACATTCAGATCCCAGCCTTCTATACAAGCAAGCTGCAACGTATCAATGACTTCAATCAAATTTACAGAGGAGATTACCATTATCCTGAGTGCTATTAGGAATGAAACACCAAGTACCAGGGTAAGTTTGCAGATGATGGAAGATATAGAATGTGCAATGTCTTTCATCATTACATTGCGGCTGAACACACACAGTTTTGTCGAAAATTCCAAATATTTTCTCTTTTTCATACTAATTGTTCAACAGAAAATATCATTTAGACCAATGTTTTCCAGGTCTCTGGATTTCAAAAAAACAATTTCCTAAAAAATATTTGGGAGCTGATACAAACACCTATGCAGTGTCTCTGAACAAAACAGGGGATTGGGGGCACAGATCCACCCCCCCAATCCCCTCCTTGTGTACCTGAAAATCCACGTATGACATGACTTCGCCACAAAAAACCACAAATAACATGCTGAAGCTTCACCAATAACATAAAATGTTGATTAGCACATGCTTTGTACGTTATATGTACTATATACTGTATCTTACAATAAAGTATAAGCTAGAAAGAACATGTTGAGAAAATACATTTACAGTACTGAACTGTTAAAAAAATCTGCTTGTAAGTGCAGTTGAAACCTGTGCTGTTCCAGGCTCAGCTGTGATTTATTTTGCTAGGTGAGGTCTTAAAAAAAATTATTTCATCTACTTTGTCGTTAAGGGAAGAATGCTTTAATACCTCAAAAATAAAGGGGACGTAATCTCGGAATAATGACAATTCATCCCAAGAAAAGAAGGCTGACAGCTCTGTGACCACATCCGTCAGCAAACTCAAACTCATCTCACCACTGACCAGAGACCCGCCCTGAGCCCCTGGTGGCAGGTGTTTGGGAAGCCCTGCTTTCACAAACAGGAAGAACTGCCTGGTATTACTGTCCTGGGGTGGAAAAGTAAACCTGGGAATAGTCCTCACTCGGAGGATTCCTGATCCTTGTCTCGAAGAGTGAGTGCCGTCTGCTTCCTGACGCCGTCCTTAAGCTCTGAGTCCCCTGCAGCAAACGAAGCCAGATCACATCTACAGGTGAGGAGCTGCTTGCTCAGACTCTGCAGGCCCCTAGCCTGTTTCAGGCACCTCTTCCTCTGGCACCTCCTCACTCATAGTACTTACTTTGCTCCTGGATGCACCTGCAGCTTCAGTGACCAGGCTCTAACCCGAGCCCCTCGGCTTGTGAGCTCCGTGTGCACGTGTTGGAGCTAATTTGTGCAGTTTAGTTCTTGCCACAGCTGCCGATAAGAGGTGCCTGCTTCTGGGTCACCCTGCGCCAGGTCACGACCGCAGCAGGTGGGGGACACCTTCCAGCCCCACGGTGTGAAGAGTTCTTTCTGCCATGCCGAACAAAACACCCAGGGAAACACAACGAGGTGATGTGAGGGAACTGAGCTGGACTTGAGGGAACAGTCCCGAGATTTTCAACAAGGGATTGTTTATCTCATGATCACATGGGCTCCGTGAAGCAGTTGGTAGGGCTTGATGCTCTTGAGAGACAAACTGGAATACTACGGGGAATTTCATGTTGCCATAATACAAGAAAGCAATGACATATAAATTATACTCATGACATACCCTGAGCACTGGGTTATAATCCTTAAATCCTGCCCAAGAGAAGTACTCTTTTATCCAGGATGAGTGAGGAAATATTTCATCTCTTACAGCAGCATTCATCTCCTACAGATATGGTCCAAAGTCCTAGGAATCTGTGTAAATTCTGGTCCTCTCTGGAGGCTCGATGATGCCCTTGCTTGAAGACACAAAGATGATAGTCGTACCGTGACAATGTTCATTCCCTGGTGACTGATGACTGTATTACAGTTATGCAAAATGTTAACATTAGGGAAAGTCTGGGGACTCTATTTTTTGTGACTTTCCTGTAAGTCTAAAAATATTTAAAAATTACAAATTACATTAAAAAAAATTTTTTTTTAATCACTGGATTCCCTCTTTAGTCCTGGCAGGAAACCTGGAGCTATGGAAGCTCTGTGGCCACATACATATGCACTAAAGAGATTTTTTCCTGTAGGAGCTGAAAGGGTAATAAAATCTATGAGAGAAGAAAGCTAAGAGCTCCACACTTCTGGGGCAGCTCCCTCCTGCACCCACGTGAGCAGGGGCCCTAGATGTCTGTTTCACGCTCAGGAAGCATATTACCTGAGCACGTGTGACCCTGATTTGGATGCCTTTGCCTATCCAAGTGCAAAGTGGCCAAAGTGCACTTTCCAAAGTGCCAAGTGCAAGTGCAAAGGAAATCATAGATGACTGACAGCAGGGGCATAACCAACATGCCAGGTGGCTTTGACGAGGCACCCAGTCAGAGCGTGGGAATTCCACAGGGCGGAGGGAGGATTCCATAGCGGCGGAAAGATGCAGAGCTGAGAGGACCGTGAAAGAAGAAAGCAACAAACAAGGAAGGCAAAAGTTACAGCTTAAGTATCAACAATCAACAGATGAGTAGCTGTCACACCACCTAGATGATTGGTAGGTGTCTCCCAAAACCACCTCAGAGGATGCGTGAGGGGTGGGGCCTCACCCTCTGCCTGCACCTGAGCTCTTGGTAATTATTTTGTGTGACGGGTTTCTGAGCCAGAATACAGTTCAAGCTAAAAAGTCCATGTCTGGGGGTAAAAAGTGGAACACCACTGATCTGGATCCTTTTGATTCAAGTAGCTAAATTTTAAGAAATGCTGACTATCATGTGCTCACATTTATTTTGTGGATGTCTGATCACAGCTGTCCTGTCCCCCTCCCTCCATCAGAATATAAGTTTGATGGAACGGACAACCACGACTGGCTTGTAGACAGGACTCAACAAATATCTGTTGAGTGTCTGAATGGCTTTAGCCTGGCTCTGACGAAGATCCAGAATTCTGTGTCTCTTCTAACCACAGTCCTCTTACTGTACTAATCAAACCACAGCTGGTACAGACAGATGGGCATTTTATTCTGAAACCCAGTGGGCAATATGGACCACAGAGCTCTCTGACGTCCTCAGAGCTCTGCCCATCCAGTGTGAAGAGGGATCATTGCATGAAACATGGAATCCTGAATCCTAGAAACAGAATAGGATGTGATCTGGGTAAGGGAAGGATAAGGAGGGAAACAGGCACCTGTCTAGTAAATATCTAGCAAGTAATGGTAGATCTCTAGGTTCTACTTCTCGAAACAACACTTTTAGCCCATTGTTTCCCCAAAGCTACAGATGTGCTAGTTTCAGCAACAAATCACTTACAGAATCCTAAAGCGTCTAACTTCTAAATCGATCTCAAACCCACTTCTGCAACTCGGTGTCGCATCTCAGTTTAAACGCTCACTCATCTCTTCCCAGATAAAGCCACCGCCTCCCAGCTGAGCAGGCCTCCTAGCACGTGGTCCTCTGCAAACTGAAGTGGTTTCTTGAGGACACAAGGCAGTGATATTCCTGCTTTGCTTTATAGCTTTCTCAAGTGCTGTTTACTCACAGACAAGTTCCCCAGGTGGTCTCATGGAGCCTTTCTGACCCCAGCCCCCCGGGTGGCATTCGGCATTCCTGCATCACGAGGGAAGGGCATTTCCACAGCTGTATTCCTGTACCTAGTACGATGCCTGTACAGGTATACCAAAGGAGCTCAACAAATCATTTGTGAGTAAGTGACATACATTTATTCACTTATTCAAAGTATCTGCATTCACCAAACTCAACATAACTATCTACACCTCCAGTCACCAGCACAGGCCATCCTCTGACCAGAATCTGGAGTCCCTCCCTGCCTCCTTGGTCTCTCTCACCCTCTCCCTCTCAGCTACTCCACTGGTAACCCCCTCCTCACCTCTGAGATCTAGCTCAAATGCCAAAGATTTCAGACCGAGCTTTTCTTGACCAAACTTATTGTTCTCCCATCCCCTCATCCCCTCACAAGGAAGAGTTAAGCACTTAGTCCTCTAAGTCCCTTTCACTCTGTCTCATGACTGAGAATCAACAGCCTCATTCTCCTGTTACCCAGAATGCTTTGGTGATACAAATGCAGATTCCTGGGCTCTACCTCAGACCTATTGAATCAGAGTCCCTGGGGTGGGGCTCAGGGATCTAGATTTAATCCAAGTTCCTCAGGTTATTCCGATATTCATTAAGGTGTGGGAATTACTGCTATAGGACACATCTGGAGGACTGGATCAAGAAGATGGGGAGCAAATGCTGAATGATGGAGGATCTTGAATGCCCTACTAATACTGGAATAATTAAAAACCTCTCTTAGCCTTGACCTGGAGACTAAAATCTGCTTTTATCCTAGAAGCACTGGGGAGATCCTAAAGAAATGTAAGCAGGGAGGAACAGAAACAGTTTTGCATTTTAAAAAGGTTACTCTTAGAGCTATATAGACGGGGGACTTCCAAACTTTTTGCCTACAACTCCTGTAAGTATTAACATTTTATATCAGGACCCTGGGGGTCCACCAAAGGTACCTGTGAAACCAAAATTTCCTGAAATCATATATACCTTGGTTATATGCAATGTACTCAGGTATATTCTATTCTGTTTGGATCAACTTTGTAAAAATGAGGGTTGTAATCAATGCCATTGATCATACAACCCACCAAAATTCACCATGGATTTTGATCAGTAGACTGAAACCAGCTGGCACAGAGGATGGATCGAGGGAGAGCAGGGGTGGAGGCACAGACCAGTCCAGGGCCACTGTGGGGATCGAGGCTTAACCACTGTGAGATGAATGAAGGCCATGGCAGAAAAGGCCAGAGGCGAGTGATGGATTTATGGGGGATTTACGAAGGAGAATGGACTGGATTCAGCAACTGGTTTGACACAGGAAGTCAGCAAATGTCAGAACCGATTACACAGTTCATGCTGACTTTGCAGCGGGGAGGCTGGCTGCAGGTGTGCCTCTGGTAACTGTGAGCACAGCTCTCTACCATGCCCAGGAGGTTTCCATGTAAGGATGAGGGACTCATGGTTTCATTTGGCTCAAGACAAGTATTTATAAAAATATAAGACTGTAACAGTAATGCTAACTTTTCTTGAATTGCTCTTGATAAGATTATTAAGTTCATTTGGGTCATTTTTGATGTTTGTTTCCTTAATATACCTGAGAAATAAGAATATGCCCAGGTAACAAAGCAATTTATTCTCAGATGCACACACAGTCTAATTAGAACAATGCTAGAGGGGCACCTGGGTGGCTCAGTGGATTAAGCCTCTGCCTTCGGCTCAGGTCATGATCTCAGGGTCCTGGGATTGAGCCCTGCATTGGGCTCTCTGCTCAGCAGGAAGCCTGCTTCCCCCTCTCTCTCTGCCTACTTGTGATCTCTCTCTCTGTCAAATAAATGAAATCTTAAAAAAACAAAACAAAACAATGCTAGAATTTTTTTCTTTTTTCTCTACATTTCCACTTCCCAACCCCCTCTACTTACCCCATGGAAAAACAAAGACTATACTTGGCCTAATGTCCCTATTTAGGGAAGAATAATTAGTCAAAGACATTGTTTTTAAGTCTACTTTGTTTGTACTTTGTTTTTAAGTATAATCATATGGTGGTTGGAATTAAAGTTAGACGTGCCAAAACCAACTATTTTAAATAGGCGGGAAGAACAAACTCTTGTTTTTAATATTAAATATATACAGGACTAAATATTATTAGGCAGGAATAATACTAAGTGCTTAACATGAACTAGTTAATTTTATCCTCATAATACTCTAATGAGATAGCTGCTATTAATGATCTTATTTTTGAGAGAAGGTAACTAAGGCTTTGTAGGGTCAGGTGACTTGCCCAAGGTCACCCCACTGGACAGCAGTACCCTCCCCAGCTCTCTACCACACAGCCAGAGCTGGGCTGCGCCATCCTGGGAGGCCCCAAGGAGGCGCTTCTCCCCCACTTTGGGGGCAAAGTCTGAAAAGCCAGGAAGCTGCCCTCATTAGACTTTGAATCTGCACCTTGATCTTAGGGTTTACAACCTCCTGAGAAGTAAATTTCTATTGTTTATAAGCAAAAAAAAAAAAATTTTAATAGAAGTCCCCTCAAAACCATCAAAAGTCTACCAATGTTAAAAGTACACACATGCTCAGTGAAATCCCCTCCTAAGACCTAGTCTCTGTGCTGCCTCTGATCAGAGCTGAGCATCTCCCACATCCAATTCCAAACCACAACCTTTCTGGAAATCACCATTCCAATGTCCTATGGGAAGGAGAAGGTGGTGAATTGGGGCAGAAAAGTGGAGATCCAGACATAAGGCTTTGTCACAGTGTTTCATCGGACATGGGTTATGTAGATAGACATTTCTGGTAAAGGGAATTTCACTTTCTTGAGCTACAACCTGGTTACTTAGACTGGATAGATAATTTTAGTCAGACAGACAAATACCAAGCATATGCAAACATTTGTATTTCTACAGCATCAGGACGACTTACATTATCTATGACCCGCGAATCCACTCTACAGACTTGAGTCAAAATGTCACTCCACCCACAGATGTGAGTAGCTTTTCCCCCTTTCTACTCGTGCTAATGTCCTCCGCTGATGTCCTCCCACGGGGGAAGAAAGTAATTTGAAACAGGGCCTCCATCACCTCTCATCTCAAGATGGTTCACTAACTGGTCTCCCTGCTTCTAGTCTCATCTCCAAACCATGATACCATCAGATTACTCTTCCTAAACCATAATGTGTAGTGTTCACAAAATTGTCACTTCCTGATTCTTCTCTGTCATAATAATAAAACCAGTACGGAGTGGTTCCCCTGGATGGCTACCTTGAGTACCGAGAGCAACATGTGCCCATTATGTACACACAGAAGAGTGGCTTGCGATGACTTTAAAAGGCAGCATATTAAGTAGCCAAGTGTCATGTAATCAAGTAACCACCACATCTGGTTCCTCTCCAAGTGCTTGCGAGTTCAACCTCTTTAACACCTCTTGAATCTGTATTCTCTTCTCAATCTGAACTGTCACTCCTGCCTTCCTAGATCCCTGTGATGGTTCTCAAACTGGTCTCCAGAATCCACATTCCTGTTTCCCTTCCCACCACACAGACACACAACCGAACCTCCCCAGTACACCTCTGACCACATCCTTGTTCCTCATTGGACTCCTTCATTGGGCTCCTCATCCCTTCCAGATAAAATCCAAGCCATGTGTGGGGCACACACACCATGCTGTCCACGGTCTGGCTTGCTGGCTTCTCCCATGCACGCCGGCTGTGATCCCCTATCCTGTGCTGTCCTCTCTCAGCTCAGCATCTCTCTGTCTCTGCTGGTCAGTGTCCACTCGTACTTCAAAACTGAGCTCCGTAGTCTCACCCAGTCATCCTTCTCTGACCCCCATCTCTATCCCATTGCCTCCGGAACACACAGGTATCATAAACTTAGCATTCTGTATTATAATTGTTTTTCTCTTCCAGTAGACAGACTGTAACTCTGAAGACAATCGTTTCATCTCTGTTTCTCTAGAATTTAGAATAGTGCTGCTCAGTAAACGATAAATGAATCCATAATGAATAACATTCATCTCAAAGAATTATTTTTTAATCTCAGGGCAGTCTTTCCAAAAGGATTAGGACCCTATGAAGAAGCTAAATAATGTCAACGAGGCTAAAAGAAAGGAAACACACCAGCCATCTGATGTGGTAAGTAATTAAACACATGTAGGTGCATCAGAGAACATAGAACTTCAAAGTGAAAACAGTCATGCTTTAATAATGAGACAAACAAAGCCTATAGAAGTCAATTAATTGCTTCTAATAAGTGGTGGGAGGAGAACCTGAATTCCACAGACATGATTTCGTCTACGGTGCTACCTCTAACCGATGGGAAATTATGGCCAGTCCTTACAGGATATCATTACAAAAACTTATCTTGAGGACTGGTTTGTTATCCCATAAATTTATAATGAGTTTGTAATACCCAACAAATGCAGATAAGTAAACTATTACAATAATTGCCTCCTGAGTACGATGACATGTGCATTCCCTGTCTGCAGAAAGGCAGTCCCTGCTCTTTGTTCACAAAGTACTCCTGGGAGGGGTGAAAAGGAGGATGATCATGAAGCAGATGGTACTGGTACTTGCTCATAAAGACAATATGACAGAGGCTGAGTCACCGCATGTACTCAGGATAAAATAAATGCTGTATGTAATTACAGAATCTTATAAAAGCAAAATTAAAATACCTATAGGATCTTAACATTTCAAATAATAAAACTATGCTTCCCATATGGAAAAATGGATAGATCATCCATATTGTTTTCCTAAGGGGTTATGAGTTCTATGAATTATGCAGCCTGATTGTATCCCAAGTATAGCTTAAACAAATATGCTATCTTTAACTACCATGGCTGAAGGTGTTAAGACTATTTACTTTTATTTTTTAATTTAAAAAAATCCATTTACATTCCATATTCGCACTTTTTGCGAATGGTTCTATGAATTTTAACACATGTGGAGTTTTGTGCAACTACCACCAGAATGCATGTACAGAGCTGTTCCATCACCCTCCAAAAACTCTCTCATGTTGCCCCATTTCAGTCAAATCCTCCCCGAGCCCGACCCCTGACAACCACTGATCTGTTCTCCACCCCTACAGTTCTGTCTTTCCCAGAATGCCATAATAATAGAATAACATAATATGTCACCTTTTGGAACTGTCTTCCTTCACTTAGGACGATGTCTCTGAGATTTATCCGTGCTGCTGTATGTAACAATATTTACTTTTTATTGTATTCCGTGGCCTACACGTATCATGGCCTGTTCACCCATTCACCTGCTGACTAATGTTTAAGTTGATGTGGTAATTATGACTACAGCTGCTATTAATATCCGTACAGTTCTGGTGTTAATAAAAGTTTAATTTCTCTAGGTCAAATACCCAGGAATGGAATTCCTGGGTCATACGATAAATGCATATTTAAAGAAACAGTCAAACTGTTTTCCACAACATTTTGAATTCCCAACAATTTGTGAGAGATCCTATTCCTATGCATCCTTACCATAACTGGATATTGTCAATTTTTCAAAGCTTTGTTATTTCACTGTGGTTTTAATCAATCTGCATTTCCTAATGGCTACTGATATGAGCACATCATTTCTTATGTTTATTTGCATCTGTATGTCTTCATTGGTGAAGCACATACCCAAATGTTTTGCCCAGCTATTACTGAGCTGTTGTTTCCTGACACTGATTTTTGAGAGATTATAATTTCTGATACAAGCGGTTAGTCAGATATTTGATTTGCAAATATTTTCTCACAGTCTTTAGTTTGTCTTTTTATTTTCTTAACAGTGTCTTTCACAGAGAACAAAACTTATTTTTGATAAAGTCTAATATATTAAACTTTTCTCTATGGATTGTGCTCTTGGTGTTATATATAAGAAGGTTTTCCCTCACTGGACGTTAGGAAATTTTCTCCTACACTTTCCTCTAAAATTTTATAGTTTTACATTTACATTTAGATCTTTGATCCATTTTGGCTTATTTTTTGGTATACAATGTGAGGTCTAAATTGAGATTCATTTTTTTACATATAAATGTCCAATCGCTCTAATAATATTTATTGAAAAGCTATCTTTTTTTCTGTTGAATTGTTTTTGCACTTTTGTCAGAAATCAATTGCTTATATTTGTGTGGATCTATTTCTGGATTCTCTACTCTGTTTCATTGATCTAGTGTTTATCCTTTCGTCGATATCATGCTGTCTTGATTACTGTAGCTTTATACCACGTCTTAAAATATGGTAGTGTGGTCCCTCCAACTTTATTCTTTTTCAAAATTGTTTTGGCTATTCTAGTTCCTTTGTTTTTCCTTATAAATCTTATAGGCTGTCTATATGTACAAAAAATTCTGCCAGGATTTTGATGGGCATTGAGTTGAACCTATAGATGTATTTAGAGATAATTGAATACTAACTATAACAATACACTCTTAACCAATAAATCAAAGAAATTGCAAGAGAAATGAGAAAATAATGATATTTTCTCTATATTCAACATATAAAACCCATGGAATGTAGTAAAGGCCATGCTCAGAGGAAAACTGATAGCTCTAACATTTATATTAAAAAAGAAGAAAGATCAGTAGAGAGAATCAATGAAACCAAAAG